AAACATAAGATGCAACAGTCATTAAGAGTACGTCTTACAAGCAATGGGTCTTTCGATCTTTGATATAAAGACAATTGCGATGACGGGAGCCAATATTCGTCCCATCGCTGCGCCACATACTTGCTTGTAATACCTCCCCGACCAGCGGAATATGCCGCAGTTCAGGCATTCTTTCAAGAAAGTCATGATTTGTCCAACGATGAACCCGTTCAGGTTGAAAGCGGATCGATGTTCTGAGACTAACTCATACACGGCTTTCACAGCATCTTCAGTGGAGACATTTGTGTACAACGAAGTGATGTCAAATGTTTCAATTACATATTCTCCATTAAGCTGCATTTTAATGAGCTGCTCCAAAAACTATTATAGTGTTCGAAAGATGTGCAGGCACATATTTTAGTATTTGTGTTAGTATCAGATTCAATAGCCATGAGGATCTATCGTTGGGGCCACCGCAGCTGCTTATGATGGGTCTTACTTTGCAGTCTGATGGACTTTCAGGGAGGAATCCTGATGCAAGGAGTTCATGTGTCTTTGTCAAGCGGGTCTTGAAGATTCCGTCAGAACTGTAGATATCCCACCTCTTAATCTCTAACAACTTGGCCAAAATCAAGCGTATGAGAGAATCTGCACGACCGCCAATTGTATCATGCGCCCGTCTGAAAAACCAGGTGCTGCATGGAGTTAAGAGTAGTTTACTTTATAAGCGCCAAAAAATGCAGTGGCCAGTACATAGGAGGAACTGCCAACCCCTTGTGCACAAGGATTAAAGCATCTTGATGGTGTTAAAAAGTCCAAAATGTCCACTCTGGGCGCACATCGAAGATTATGTCGTGAGAGCCAGCATTTTAAATTACTGCTGCGATCTTGTCGCATGAATCTGAGTAAATAGCTCTCCAAGCGTTGAGGCCTTTTACATAGCACACTAGAAATGGCAAAGAAGAAGGCATTGCCATAAACAGCGAGCTATTCTCCTAAACACAATGTGGATTTCGAGACGGGATCTTCTATAACCATATAATGGGCATTGTTGAATTGAAATGCTCACTCCTAACGCAGTTGCAGCGCGGTACTGGTAATTCGGTTTCTATACTAAGATCTGACAAGGTGAAGCAAGCCCTACTCTGCCACACACTCCATCAAATAGCTAAACTAAAGCTATTGCCAAACAAGGCGTTTAAGCAGGCAGATCTCAAAGTCTTGTCTCAGGAAGCCCTGAAGAAGGTGGACGGACCGCCGAAACGTTGACTTGTCCAATAAAAAGTTTCGCTACCAACCTTGGTCGACAACTTAAGGCTGGGTTCATACTGATCTGTTAAGTTCCGGAACAGCCTAAAAGATATATTACAATTCAAATATACAATGACAAGGTTCATTGATATTCGAGCACAATCTGATCACACTATTTTCCCTCTCATCGCTCTCTAACTTCTCCACATTTGCTGATGTTTATTCACTTCAGTTTTCCGGGCACAGCCACCGACAATACCGAAGAATCATCAGCAGGAAGGTAAGAGTTTTGGATAGCAATTTCGAATAGAACTGCTGCTTGCGAACAGTTGAATGAAATTTTCAGAGTTTAACAAGTGAGTCAACAAGTGACAACAATTACTCAAGAACACTCATAAACAGCAACGTATACAGGGTGCGCCAAAATTATTTGCGTCAACTTTGCA